GAAAAGATTAAGGACAATGGTGAAAGCATAGGGTGGCCATTTTGAATTTGTAAATATATTTATTGACAATATTTTATATATAACTATCAATCTGTAAAGCTTCATTAACAAAAATCTGAAACCTTTTATTTCATGATAAAATGAATAAATATATATGTCACAATGGTATATGTAACTCTAGAAAGCACATCAGATGATCTGTAACTATAAAATATCTGTGGGTCTGAGAAAACTAACCAATTTACTTGGTTTGGCTTCCATTTCACATACACACATCCATGACTGAAGTCTGTGTTCATAAAAATCAGTCATAGATCATCAGTGGGAAAAAGCCATAAAAACAAGATGCAAAGCAACATTATTGGGAAAAGTCCTTTGCCATATTACACCTGCCAATTTCAAGTAATCAATTGTTATTAAATGCAGTCTATCACCTGATTTAGGCATCAATCAAGTTAATTTGCTTTTGGCATTTGTTTTATTCAATCAGGTTGAGCTGAAAAATTTTGTCAAGCTTAGTAATTTATCAGGTGTGACTGAAATATTGTTTTATTAAACAATATTGCCACCAGGTTGCTTTGTTCTTGATGTAGATGAAGTTTTTACTTTTGTTAAAAAGGGGGCTAAATAAGCAGAAGTAGCAGGAGAGGATTTTAATTGGCCACTCTCCCAACTGGAAACAGCCAACAAGTCTGCCTTGTACCAGACAAAAGTTAAGCTTTTATCTGAATTTCAATTATTTGTATTTAATTGGCCACTCTCCCAACTGGAAACAGCCAACAAGTCTGCCTTTGTAGACAAAGTTAAGCTTTTTATCTGAATTTCTGAGATGAGGAGTTATTTGTATTTAATTGGCCACTCTCTCAACTGAAACAACCAACAAGTCTGCCTTGTACCAGACAAAGTTAAGCTTTTTATCTGAATTTCTGAGATGAGGAGTTATTTGTATTTAATTGGCCTCTCTCAACTGAAATAGCAGCCAACAAGTCTGCCTTGTACCAGACAAAGTTAAGCTTTTTTATCTGAATTTCTGAGATGAGGAGTTATTTGTATTTAATTGGCCACTCTCTCAACTGGAAACAGCCAACAAGTCTGCCTTTGTACCAGACAAAGTTAAGCTTTTTATCTGAATTTCTGAGATGAGGAGTTATTTGTATTTAATTGGCCACTCTCAACTGGAACAACAAGTCTGCCTTGTACCAGACAAAGTTAAGCTTTTTATCTGAATTTCTGAGATGAGGAGTTATTTGATTTAATTGGCCATCTCAACTGAACAAGTCTGACCAGACAAAGTTAAGCTTTTATCTGAATTTCAGAGATGAGGAGTTATTTGTATTTAATTGGCCACTCTCCCAACTGAAACAGCCAACAAGTCTGCCTTGTACCAGACAAAGTTAAGCTTTTATCTGAATTTCTGAGATGAGGAGTTATTTGTATTTAATTGGCCACTCTCCCAACTGGAAACAGCCAACAAGTCTGCCTTGTACCAGACAAAGTTAAGCTTTTTATCTGAATTTCTGAGATGAGGAGTTATTTGTATTTAATTGGCCACTCTCTCAACTGGAAACAGCCAACAAGTCTGCCTTGTACCAGACAAAGTTAAGCTTTTTATCTGAATTTCTGAGATGAGGAGTTATTTGTATTTAATTGGCCACTCTCTCAACTGGAAACAGCCAACAAGTCTGCCTTGTACCAGACAAAGTTAAGCTTTTTATCTGAATTTCAGAGATGAGGAGTTATTTGTATTTAATTGGCCACTGGAAACAGCCAACAAGTCTGCCTTGTACCAGACAAAGTTAAGCTTTTATCTGAATTTCAGAGATGAGGAGTTATTTGTATTTAATTGGCCACTCTCTCAACTGGAAACAGCCAACAAGTCTGCCTTGTGAAAATCTGAATTTCAGATCCTCTCCAACTGGAAACAGCCAACAAGTCTGCCTTGTACCAGACAAAGTTAAGCTTTTTATCTGAATTTCTGAGATGAGGAGTTATTTGTATTTAATTGGCCACTCTCCCAACTGGAAACAGCCAACAAGCTTGCCTTGAAAATCTGCATCCTTCCTGTAGCAGACAAAGTTAAGCTTTTTATCTGAATTTCTGAGATGAGAAGTTATGTGTATGTTGATCTGAGTAACCTACAGGGAATTTCAAATTGAACCCTTTATTTAATCTATGAGAATAGAGAATGTTTCTATGTCTAGAGATATTTCAAGTTCTTACTGTTCAGTTATTGCTTGTCTTATTTACACTGAGTTCAAGTACATACTGCCTGAACTAGGGATTGAACTCACAATTATTGTGTCACCAAATTAATGAATCAATTAATCCACTATCCAAGTAGGATAACAATAACAAAGATAAGGACAATAGTTTCATAACATTTGCCTTTATTACATTTACATGAAATGTTTACCAAGTTTTACTTTATTTACATTATTTGCATGCAAACTAATCTCAAAAACCATTGACAGTGAGTCTGAATCTTACTGAAGTTTCTATTTTTTAACCATTTTACTGACTAATTTAAGCACAGTAAATAACAGTTCCTTCTGTAGAGCAATGGATATTCAGTTTATCTTACAAGGTGATTTATTCCTAAGTGCTCTTATACAAAATGAGCCTGTTTAATAAATGCCTACAATGCAATGCAAGAAATTTGTTATCTCACATCCAAATATTCAGATTTAGTGTTCATCTACAATTCCACTTTAAACAAAACCAAAATTCTCCACATAATATAATTTGTCAATAACATCTTTTACACTGTGAATCTGACATGGTGTTTGAGTTATGAAGGGACAAAAAAAAGTCTTGATCAAGTGACATTTTTTGTGGATAATATTTGAGAAGTAAAAGTTTAAATTTTTTGAGATTTGATTCTCTTGTTATTCTGCTATGATTCTTTCAGATGAACATCATCATCTTTGTTGTTTTTTCCACGGGTGTGTGTGTGCCACATTCAGTGAGTGAGAATTTAAAATGGAACTTTTTATTCCCTCTGATAATTGCTGAACTAGAAATATTTCTTTTAATGGTGCTTCACACTTTCTCCATTGAGCCGCCTAGCCCAGTTGTAATACTTTTCAATATTTGCATCTATTCTGGAACCAGCATAAGACTCCAAAAGAAAGATGAAAATTAGAAAGAAACAAAACATTGTTTGGTTGGGTGTGGTTCATAGTTTGGAGACAGCTGGTCTAGCCCTGAAGACTAAATTTTTCAGAGGAAAATGATGAATTTACACAAGGAGAAGTGCTTTTATTTGTTAAACAACACTTCAGAAATAAAAGAATTCCATTCAAAATTTTCTGAAAATTACTAAGTGTGACAGACATCTGATAAAAGCTGAATAGAACAACTGTTGAAACATAGATGAGGATCTTAGACTGAAAGAATGCTTCAATAACTCAGGAAGGCAAGCAGCCATTTATCACAATACCAAATTTTTTAGATATTAGTCGTGCTGATTTTAAATCTGAAGTCATCTTGAAAATATTTGTCAATTGCATCAAGAAAAAGAATTTTTCAAATTTTAATATTTCTTCCTGAAAATTTAAACGCTGAATGTTTCTTGCCTATTGGCTGAAAATTGTTATGATGAAAACATTTGTTACAAAAAAAAAAAAAGACAAGACAAGCACATCATAATGCAAAAAGTTGAGATCTGACATCAGCAAACATCAAATATCTAAAAGAGATATTCAGAGATTTAACAACAAACTTTTGATAATTTAAAAGTGAATGAGTGAGATGTAATTGAAAATATTATGGAAAAACAAAGTTTTTGATTTAATAACTTGGAGCAATAATTTGTAAAATGAAATATTGTCTTTTAATACTGACTCTTCAAAAGAATTCCTTATACATTTATAAAAATACAGCAAAAATATAAGGACTTTTATTGATGACACAATTTCATATTTGGATATTTTTTCTTATTTAAATCAAAGCCTCAAGAATAATAATAAAAAATAGGCAGCATGAAATAGTCACAATAAATAGTCTCTTTAGGTTTGGTTTGTTTACAATATATCAAGCTCAACGGGTTATTTAATACCTATAAGATTTTTATTGCTGATAATATTTTATTTTTTTCGAAAAAGTATTTCTGGTAATATTTTTTTCCAAAAAAGTATTGCTGGTAATAGAATGTATTTTTACACTTTCTTAGCATTTTGACCCCAATCTCTCTAGATTTAGATAGCAAAAACAAACTGAAATGTAATTTCTCAAATCTTATGTGGGAAAGTTAAAATAAAATAAGTAAAAACTGGTACATTTTTTAAAAAAGGTAAACACTTAAATGGATTCTAGAAGACTATCAAAATGCATGCACGTCAAGTACATATTTATAAATAGTTTTCTCAAGAGCTTTCAAGTTAACTTTGAATACATTCGTTGTTTGACAGTAGAAAAAAATAAATCTAATAACAGTAATGCATAAAATACTTAATCATTTATCGTATACAAAAGGAAAATGTCTAAAAGAAATCATTTTTTTTTTTACATTGTGATATAAAGTCAATTGGCCAATGCCAAATTCTGGGAAAATTTAAAGAAAATTCAACAATTGAGAAAAATTTTGCAAAGAGAAATTAAAATGAAGAAATAGTGATACCAACTAATTACAGAAATTATGAAAAAAAAAAAAAAATGTTGAAATTATTTGAAATCTTTGAAAAGGAATATAAATTAACAATTCAGTATCATTTGGCCAAATTTAAATTCATTAAAATTCATTTTTAAATTCATTAAACATATTGTAACTAACTGAGATTGATTTTTAAGTTAACTAATTGGTATTGGCTGAAAAAAAAAAAAAAAAAAAAAAAAAAAAAAAAAATGAAAAGTAACAAAACAAACTAAAAACAACAATTTTCATGAACCTAAAAATTAACAACATCATAAAAAAAAAAAAAAAACACAACAGACAGCAAGTGAAAGGGTTAAAGAAACAAAGTAACTTATTGGGGGATATTTTTTTAATTTGGTGCGCTTACCTTTGTAATTCTTGATGAGTCCACGCCTCATCAATGGCAAACAGAGTGGGATATAATGCTCATGACTACATACGATTCTCAAAAACTCAAACTTCATTTGCTGAAACATCTGCAAAATTTCAAGATAAGGTTAAAAATAAAATAAAATGAAAAATATAATGTAACCAATGTTTTTGGTTACAATTTCGGTACATTTTTATTAAAAATCTTTAACTATGAAACCAAGAAATTTTAAATTCTCATATTGATGAGACAATTTCATGTCAAATTTTAATTTTATATACTCTTGAGTTCTAAATAATAGGGGGAGATTGACAAAATGCTGAAATGTAATAATTTTGATTGAAAGAAAGGGACATTAATTTGGGGCTTGAGAATAGGTGTTGGAATTAATTTATATACTGGATTTAAAATTTTAAAAAGAAATATTTTATTTTGCTGATTAAAAGTTGAAGCAAAAAAGAGGCTTACTTCTTCTGTGCGCCATATCCTTTCAGGACATGAGTGATCATAGCTCTCCAAAACTTCCTATCTCTTGTGACCCATAACAGTGTCTTTAATTTTGCTAAGGCCCTCACATCTGTTCTGCCATCCATTCAAACAAGCTTCTGCCTTACCCTATCTCTCTTGCCCTCAATATGCCCTATGAGGGTTAAATTTTCCAAACCCTCTTTCCTCAGGAATTTCAGTTGATTTTTCTTGATTTTGAGCATGTGTTCATTTTGTTGCCATTTTCTTTAAGACTTCCTCATTGCTTATTCACTGTTCATGGAATTCTCAGTATCCTTCTGTAGAACCACATTTCTGCTGCCTCCAGTTTTCTCCTCATCTGTGGGGAGATTGTCGAGCATTCACTGCCATATAAGAAGTTGGATATCACATAGCAATCCAGAAATCTTTTCTTTGATTCTACCAAAATTTTTCTGTTTCTCATCACTTTGCTTGGCTTTTGGAAGGCATCTTTTGCTTGTCCAATATATGCTCAGATTTCAGTGTCCTATTTTCCATCATCGTTAAAACCCTTCCCAGATATTTGACCTTTTGTGCTTGCTTGATATTAACATCTCCAATTTCGAACATGCATTTTGGGCTGATGACCAGACTTTCTGTCTTCTTGCAGTCAATGATTTCAGCAACCTGATTATCCCCACTTATCTGTTTCTCTGAGAACTTTTTGAAACATTCTTTTCAGAAGCCACTTTCACTATATAGGATAATATTTAAAGACATTCTTCTACATTCATTGGTTCATTACAATGGGTGTGGCATGGTGGGTCTTACCCATGAAGGTTAGAACTGGTGGAACTAAGGAATGTAGTTCGTCTGAACACTTTTCATGAAAATAGCAACAGATCAGCAAGAGACTTGCAATGTTTCATCTGTAGCAAAGGAGTTGCATATATGATAAAAATATAGTTTTACAATATGCTGTATTTATGAGTTAAAGTGTTCAATATCAGGGATAGTATATAAATATATGGCCTAATGATTGCTATTAAGTATAAAACAGGTTGTCACCACAATGTCCATTATATACAGATATTGGACATTCTACCAATGTGACCACAAAACCACTGGACAAAAGAGTATTAATAAAGAAACATTTTTTTTTTTATCAGCAAATTTAAACCAATACCAAATTCATTGCATAAACCAGAGGCACATCCGTCAAAATATATTCTATCATACTTTCCTTACTATAAGCAACATATAAAACCAGTTACACCCCTTGATTTTTTAATTTGTCATAAGCTTCAACATGGGGGAATATAAACATTAACAGACTTTTTGAAAAGCTAAAAGTGAAAGCGGTTAAACCCAATTTTTTCTGAAAACCCACATATAAGTAAAAATTTTAATATTTCTCTGTAAAAATACATCTTATATATAAAGTAAAGTGTGTGTGTGTGTGCATGTGTCCAAGTAACTCCTTCGCTCCCAATGATTCATAGCTCATTCAAAAGCCCTAGAAAAGTTAGGCACAGGGAACAATTTCCATTGAACTCAGATTCAGGGTTGCCAGATTATGCACAGTTTTATATATATATATATATATATATATATATATATATATATATATATATATATTATACTAGCCATTATTGTTGCTTTCATGGTTCAAGGGAGTAACTCTTATTTTCCTTTTGAATCCAAAATTGTAGTGCACATGTAGTACTTTAGTTCAATCAGTGAATACTTGGAGAGAAAAAAAATATCTTACCACTTTTTCACAATTTTGGGAAACAAACTCATAACTACAAAAAAGGTGCTGGAAAGTTCTTGGCTCAACCCACTTCCCAAAAATCAGTATTTGAATAACCAATTTACAAATGACTGACTTTTTTTTTTTTTTCATTGTTAAGTGTTCTTTACAAACAATTCATATTATTGAACACAAAACTGTAATTTTCAATTTAGTATAGCAAAATGACTGTTTTCTAAAAGGCAAGTGATCATCCTACTCCTACCCATGAAATCCTTAAATCATTAAAAATATTCTTTAAGAAAAAATCCTCCACCATTTGTTAAATTAATGATCATTAAAATATATAAATGATCATAAAAACACATCATCTTACTAGTAGAACCAATTAACCAATATCTTACCTTTGTATCTCTAACGCTGAAGTTTTCCATGTAAGTGCTAATAATGCGAAACACAAAACCTCGGTCAATAAGGGTAAAAAGATGCTGAAATAGAAATTGAAAAGTGTTGCCAAAACAAAGCAATAAAAAAATTACTTAAATTCAGGAAAAAAATAAAATAAAACCATTACTTGTCCAAAAACAAAAACTAAAGACAATCTGAATTAGGTTACTTTTGAGAAGGGGATTGAATAAATGGTTCAATTTAAAACTCCAAAAAGGTTACCAAATATGACACAAAAAGGTCAGGAGGTGCAATGTCAAAATCATAAAAATTTCAACAATGAGAACAATTGAAAAAAATTAATAATTTTGCCAATATTATTCAATAAAAGAATTATTAGAGATTAAGCTATACTTTGCAGTCCTGATTTGATAGTGGGATATTTTTTTTTTGAAAAGAGGCAAAAACAAAGCAACATTAATATTTCTGATGGTTGGTAGCAGAAAGATTTAAAATGGCTGCACAAAATTTAAGAAAGAGATAACATATCATCACTCAAGTGTAACAAAATTTTCAAACATAAGATAGGAAATTAGTATAAAATAAAACCAAGACTGAATTCAGTCAAGCAATGTTCATGACAAACATGCAAAAATATATTACCTGTGTCCCATAATAGGTGAGACATTGAGGGGATGAAATGAGTAGACACATGTAACAACTATTATGGGACAAAAGTAGGACAATTTATCCGATCTTATTTTAATGTTTTTTTTTCTTTAACCTTAAAAATACATAGAATACTTAAAAAATATTGATGAGTGCCTCTGCCACTATGAAGCTATGTACATATACGTAATTATTGTGTGAGGTTTCTGAATTGCTTGATGAAAAGCAGGAAAATCATGGCCCAAGAAGAGCGACATACCTTAACAAATGTAGCAAGACTGTGATTAGCAGTTTTAGCATCGGCAAGTACATCATCTTGTTTTTGATAAAGATGAGGATATATTGCTTGGATAAGATTCTGAATACGAAATTGATAATCGGAAGAAAACCTTTCATTTCGTGGCATCTGGAGAAAAGAAAAGGAAATTTAAAATTTTTTTTTTTTTTTTATACACAGATAACTTAGTTTGTCAAAGTTGCTGAAACAAAAACAAAAAAAGAAAATCAAACTTTCTCCTGTTTAAATTTAAATGTACTTTATTTGGGGAGGGGGGAATGAAAACTGTGAAATGATAAAATAGTGAAAAATCAACAATAAGATTTCCAGGATTGAAATTTAAAAAAAAAAAAAAAAAAAAAAGCTAGAGAGAATGATCAGGGTAGGGGTGAGAGAAGGAAAGGTGTGCGGGAGAGAGGGATGGTCTGTGGAAGAGGAGGAAAAGCTCAGTGAGTGTGATGGAAAGAGAAAGAGAAGTATCAAGGAGCATGGGAAGGATTGGGAGGCGAGAGAGAGAAGGATCATGAGGTGTGCAAGAGAGAGAAAAAAAGGAGGGAAGGATCACAGGTCATGCAAGAGAGGCTTGTGTACATATCTATTATAATGTCTTAAGTATTCTTTTTTTTTTTTTTTTTTTTCATAGGTCTTCAGTGCGATTGATGAGGATGAAAGTATTTATTTTTCTAAAGGTTTATATAATAAGTGCACAAAACTAGAACAGAAATTAAAATAGGAAAAAAACTGAAAGCATACCTTGATCCTTTCTGTTTCTATAAGATATTGTGTCATACTTTTGATGAGAATCTCAAAGAAGAACCGGGAATGTTTCAAAAAGCGGCTGACAACTAACTGATCAGCATTGACTGGCCGCAGAATCACGGTCAAATTTTTGGCCAGTTCTTCATGGATCGTTTTCACTTTTGTGCCTTTTGGGGTGGGTAAGGTTTTGAAAACATACTGTAAAAAACAAAAAATACGATAAAATTAATAAGTGAAAATTCAAATTAGTAGATGGAAATTAGATTACAGTAAAAAAAATACTTTCACACTTTTAGTGATTATATATAAGCAATTATTAGATATTTTAAATCTGACATTGTTTCTTCATGTTGCTGAAAAATGTTTGCATTCCAAGCACAAAAAACAAAGTCAGCAGATATACACTTAGAATGGTCCCAATAAAAGATGTGTATTTCTTAAAGAGGATAAATGAGTCTTGGTTTTGCTATGAAGATAATTGTGGCTTAATGGCAAGGCACACCAAATCTAAAAGTGGTTTCCCCTGATTGACAAAAGAAATACAGGTTTTTTGATTCTTGTCAGGAGGCAGATTTTCTTGATGGGACTCAATTTTAAGGACAGAAGACATCAATTTCACTACAAAAAAAAAAAAAAAAAAAAAGCAACAGATGTCTACTCAAACATAAGAACCCATTAAATATAATGTTTATGCTATATATATATATATATATATATATACGCACACACTTAGGAATATTTGTAAGCATGGATGTACAGGTGGTGTGCAATGGCTTGAAATTGGAAATCAGAGAGGCCAGTTTCACTCTCAGCAAGTTCAATAACATTCACTTACATACAAATACTCTTGGGAAAGATATGAATCTACCTCTTCTCCCCCAAGCTATGGGTTAATTAGTAACACTTGTATTAGTAAAAGTCACTATCTCTAAAATATTCCTAAAATATCAAAATATTTTTTTGGCTTTAAACAACCTGCAAAAGATTGATAAGATGTAAAAAAGAAACAAATATATATAATATTTTTATTATACTATTTTACATCGCTACACAAAAATTTCCATGTTTTAGAATTTTAAAATTGTCTCTCATCAGTCGATGTTAGATAACTTATGATGAAAATGATTTACTTGGGAAATCAGAAAACAATTTGGTAGGTCATTTTAAGAGTTAATTTTATCTAGACCTGAATAATTAACCCAACTACCAGTAACTTCTGATCTTATTTTCATTTTTTTTTAATTTTAGCTTTGATCCATCTTTTGATTGGTCAAGCAAGACATGCCCACAGATGTGTTTTTAATTTTGGAATTTTGGTTTTCCCCTCTCCTTTTTAACTCTCAAATGAGCTACGAAATTGATGCAAATCACTCTGCCAGAAATTTGGAAATGGCAAGCTGTACTACTTGGCATTTGCGCCGGCAGCTCCAATACAAACATTTCAGAGGGCTTCGGTGTCAATCTGAGGACAGTGCAGAGGATTTGGAAAGAGTTGGATGAGTCTAATGGTGATTAGAAACATATGACAGCTCAGAAAACTGATTATCCTGGTAAGAAAAAAAACCCTGAATTTGTTGGCGAGGATCTCAGACTCAACATGGAGGCCTACATCAAATGCCTTGAGGAGGTAGTGCTGCCTTGGGTCAAGAGGGTGGTTGCTGGAAAACTATGTCTGGCAAGAGGACTCTGAACCATGTCATACAAGAAGGAGAACTGAGTCATGTCTGCCAGACAATTTCTGTGACCATTTCACTACTTACATCTGGCCACCTAACCCCCAGACTGACACACCCTTGATTATTATGTGTGGGGTGCAGTTGAGCAAGAGACCAACAAAACTCCTTGTAACACCGAAGATGAACTGAAGGCAAGGATTATGTTTGCATTCATCAACTTAAACAAGGAGACCATCCAGAAGAGTTGTAGGAGATTCCAATGGTGATTTCATTGAATAAATTTACTTTTTAGTACTTTAAGATGTTTTCGTGTAATTTTGGTAAATGTATCTGTTAAAATGAGATGTCAGTGTTATTTTCATTTTTGTATCACTAAGATGACAATTTACTGGGGAAAATGAGGAGCATTTTCTCTCCCAACAATTGCCAAGCAAAAATACAAAAAAAAAAAAAAAAAAATATTCAGACACACAAAAAGTTTACCATACTAACCTTCACGTATGACTGTAAAATTTCTGGTTTACCAGCATTGTGTACTTCAGAAACAATATGAATGAGGACACTAAGGAAAAAGAATTAAAATATTTGTCAGCTTTTCCTTTGTAATTCTCTGCTGCACAAAGAAACAATTAAAATTTATAAAACTATTTCCTAGGATACCAGAAATCAAGTTTAATGGAACAAATTGCATTAAAAACTCGGATAAAATTACGAAAGCTAAAAAATAATATTTTTGAAGCAGTTTTCGAAATTAACAAGCAATAAAACATGAGAGGAATTTAAAACCAGTAATAATAAAAGAAAACATTATTTATGAAGGAACCAATTTTATAAATTAAATGAATAAAAAGAAAAATATAACCATTTTATGACGAGTTTTGAAAATGAAAATAAAGACATCAAAAGCAAATATGGTGGTTAATGTAGAATCAAAATTGATTTCTGTTTGCATTTCAAAATATAAAAGAAAATATTTATTACCAGACACTCTGCAGCAAGATAGAAGCAGGGCAAAATTCCTGCAACCCCCCCCCACGCCCCCCGTTTCCTGATAAAGCCTCTTCAGAAACAGACAAAATGTTCAATGAATGAAGAAAACAAAAGATAGAAGACAAAAACAATTCATACCGTGCTGCATTCATTGCAATGTCCTCATTGTGAGTTCTTGCAATCAGCCTGAATAACTGATTGAGAATGGTTGGCAAAAAGTTGATAAATGTCCCAACTTCCACTGCATGTAAAGACTAAAAGAAATCAAAATAAAATCATTAAACTTTGTAAAAAAAAAATACAACAAATATCAAGCATTTAATTTGCTTTTCATTCAAATTTATGAACATTTTTAAGAAAAAAGAAAATAGATGGTGTCAATCTGATAATTGACAAATCAATTAATTAAAGTAATTAACTGATTACAAAATTTAATTAAATAATTTTTTATCAAGCATTGCAAAAAAACTTTGTAACTTCTGGAAACATTTCATTTGTTTCAACAATTAAGCCATAAATATTATATATGTATATAATTATTTAAAAATTATAACATAAATATGTTATAAAATCACTACAAAAATACCCATTTTGTTTCAACACCTCTGGTGTCTTATCAAGTGATGATGTTGAATGTAAAATAAATGGTTTTAAAAGTTTCAAATTAATTAACGATCTTTCGCAAGAGGAAAACATTGTTACAAAAGCTAGAATGACCAATCAAACACAAGTATAGGAAAATTCAAAAAACTTGACAAGGAAGTAAGGTTATAATAGCTATTCAGAGCTTTAAAATTGGGGTTATATTAAAAAAGAATTTATTCTAACCAATAAGTATTAAATTATATGATAAAATTTGATATTAAAATTAAAAGTAAAAAATTAACAATTTTAAAATCTAAACCGATAAATACATGTACACACATCCACATACATTGACCTAGACAATCTGATACCAAGAAATATTCAAGACCAAAAGTGTTATTAAACAAATGCTAACCACTTATTAAAATATAACTTATATGGGCAAATATACAAAGAAAAAATGGTTAAAAATAACATTATCTAATATATAAAAAAACGAAAAATCCAAACACACAAATCTCTATAAAAATATATATTTTAATCATATAAGTCGATATATACCTTATTATATATTAGGTAAAAGAAAATAAGATAAGAACTATCTACAGTTATGACTGTACAGTCACACATATATACACATACACACAAATATATGCCTCCACATGTCTATATATATATATCTACGCATACACATACGTATATAAACACATACAGAAACAAGTATAAATATATCAACCCACACAGCAATGTAAAAAATAAACAAGCCAAATATAAATATATATATATATATATACATACGTGCACATATATGCAAATACAAACTAAACACACAAAAATACATATATACCAACACATATACAAACACACGCATATACATAAAAAACTAAAACGTAAATTCACCTATATAGACATATATACGCACAAACACACACACACACATATACACACAGATAAAAATGGGAATATACATACATTCTAACAACATTATCTTATTGACGATAAAATATAGTAAAAGTTCATAATAATGTTTTAAAAAGTAACCACACAAAGTTGTTGATTAAGTCTATAAACAATTAAAAAAATCTCTATCAAACAAGAGTAGATTTTAGTTTGTATCAATGATATATTCCAAGACACTGATATATACATACATACATATACATATATTAGGACATACGAACATCATCACTTGATAAGACACCGGAGGTGTTGAAACAAAATGGCTATTTTTGTAGCGATTTTTCAAGACTTATATATATATATTTCCTGTATCATGCAACCTATGAAGACCTAATTTTGAAGCTAATTTAATGACAGTAAATGGATATATATTTTGGTTATCATGCAATTTAAAATGTCACATGAAATTGCTTCTGGACCTGCATGTCTTATCGCAAATATCACATTTCAGTTGCTAGACGCCTATGGCTTTATAGTCAATTGCAGGCGTTACCTCCGTCAGTGTGCTCTCACCTGTGTCTTATCGCTATAGACCAGCCATTGACAAACATGCCACCTCCGTCAGTGTGCACACATGTGATATATATATATATATATATATATATATATATATATATATATATATATTTCATATTGAAAAGTTCTTGGCCCAACCCACTTCTAAAATCTAATCAATCATTAAAATTGTTTTTTTTATTCAAAACTTTATACCAACCCACAAAATATAAGAGGTTAGTTTATTTATATAAGAATGCCTGCACAATATATCAAAGAAGGATGCCAATTGTTTGTAGTTGATTTCTTGTTTCTCAAGGTTTACTTTTCAATAAACCGCAAAAAGTAAAAATAAAAAAAATCCTTCATGTAGTTTTCAAAGGAAGAAAAATCAGATAATATTGATGCAATCAAAGACTTCTGCAGAAATAATATGGTCGCCAATGCAATTCTCTACTAGCAGAAAATAATTTACGTTTTCAAATTAAAAACTAAAGTGGAAACTTAAATTAGGAAAATATCTATAACAAGAAAATATTAATGATTATGTGTGAGTTTCCATTTTAAAATTTAACATGTTTTTGTTATACTTTATTATTAATAGAAGAAGAAATATTTTTATGGAAATTTTGGTCTTGTAGAAAGCAAACAGACCAAAATTATTTATATCATAAATGTTATCATATTCAACTGTGAGGCTGCTATAGAAAAGGA